TTAACAGGTTCCACACTTCCCTGACCCCTGGTAATATATATTTCAGATAAGCCCAGATTCCTATGTTCATATTAACCATTTCACATGATCTCCCTTATGGGAACCATCCATATGGCTTTTCACTGGAACACACCCCGCTTCAGCTCCATAACACTGTGAGCCCCAGGAACAAGGAGAGGATGAGTGAAGTGGATCTTAGTCATTACCTCAGAAACACTCTGAGGCCTTCATCCCCTCATGAACATTCCACAAAAGGAGGAAATTCTTTTGACTCAAAAAGGAGCCTAGGGGAGCTAACCAGGTGGCATGATGGTTCAGGCAGCTGGAATCAACATGGCCAACTGAACAGTTTAAGTCCCAGATCCAGGAGCTTGAAAATCACACTGTGCATGTGTGCAAGCATGCCCAGAATCCCGAGAGGAGAATAGAGAAGGGATTGCAGCGTAGCCATCCCCCATGGAGAGGGTGCTTTCTCACTCTTTCTCCCCGTCTCTGTCTCCAGTGAATGCACATGCCCTACAGCAAATATAAATAGATAGATAGATGATAAATAGATAGATAAAAGTTGCTGAGGAAGACCAGGCAGGGATCTGGACCTCAGCTAGCAGTGAGAACTGCACAGCTCCCCCTAAGTCTCTCATATTTTCCCATAAAGCATCTGGTGACCAGCCTCCATAGTTCCACTGGAAGCTTGAGAAGGAGAAGGAATTAATCAGTCACTAGCTGCATCACTGGTCATAGAAGCAAAAGGAAGGAAGAACTCGAAAGGGCCCACTGATTGGGGCATTTGGGGAGGACCCTTTGCATGGGGCAGTGAGCAGAAGGTGGCCATGTTTGCCCCTGGACGCTGAAGCCTGTAATTACAAAATAGTCTGAAATGGGCTAACTGGGATAAAACTTAAAAAATCAGGAAACAGAAGAGAGAAATGGGGTGAAGAGAGTCCGGGGTGGGAGGAGACTGAGAAGGCGTAAATGGAGATGAGGTTTAAGCTTGAGTAAGAAAGATAAGTGGGAGTAACTGATCACATTGACTGGGGAAAGAGGATTCTGGGAGAGAAATCAGCCTGTGCAAAGGCCCAGAGGAAACCAATCAGACTGCAAAGTGGAAGGTCTATCTGCGAATCTAGACCACTGGTGACAGAATGGAGAAGGAGTGTCTAGGGGGAGCCTTAAAAGCCACTTTGTAGCCCTCAGACTTTTCCTTGAGACACAAGAAGGCACTACCAGCTTTAAGTAGTGACAGCCTCATGAGATTTGCATTTGGGAAAGTTTACAATGACAGCCTGGCAGAGGAGAGGTTGGAGGGAGGAGGACAAGGCTGGAGTCAGGTAGTCTACTCTGTTTAGCTGTCCAGGGAAGAGGAAGGGATGAAGAAGAGGCAGTTACTAAAGAAAAATTTCCTCCCTCTCCCCCACCTAAAAAAAAAGAGAGAAAGAGAAAAAAAGAAAGAAAAATTTCCTCCAACCAAGAGGAATCAGAACAGACCCTTACCTTGATACTATATAGATTTTTTTTTAAACTCACCCAGTTAATTAATGTCGCACAAACCCACCAAGGCAAGAAGAGCTCATTACGTTTCACCTCTAGATGAAAGAATGGGCTGTCCGTTGGTGCTATGGCAGTGAGCAGAGCTGCCTTCGAATAATGGGCTCAGGCGGTTGACTTACAGGTACGAAGTTCCCTCCCAGGGACACCCCATATGGCCAGACCATGCTCTTTCCAATGTACCGCTCTGCCTGGTATAATGAGCTTACATTTTGCAAGCTAAAAATCATACTCAGAGGAAAGATATGCGATCCCACTGGCAAAGATCAATCAAAGACAGCAGTTCTGGGACCAGCAGATGGACTAAGTAGTTGCGTCGCTGGACTCCCACAGAGTGAGCTACTTTTCACATCCCAACCTGGCAGCTTAAAACACACTGGGCACGTATGTGTGCATGTCCAAAATCCTGAGAGGAAAAAGGAAGAGAAGGGATTGCAATGTGGCCAACCCTCGGGGTGGGGAGGGGGATTTCTTGCTTTCTGTCTCTATGTCTCTATTTCTCTGGTAGGTACATGTGCTACATAGCAAAAAAGTCTCTCAAAACAAAAAAAAAGACATCAGTCCTTTCTGATTGTCAGAAACTAATATTGCTCTGAGAGCCCTTTTTGTTGTTAACTAACAAAAATATTACATAAGTACATGAGATATCTTTTAAGTTTTTAAAAACTTTCTCAATATGTTATCTTATATTTTCTTTTCTATGTTTTAAAGGAGAGGACCTATTTTTCTTTTCTTTTCTTCCTTTTTTCTTTTTGAGAGGTTTTTGCTATAGGGCACATGTGCTCGTCAGACAGAGAGAGAAACAGAGAGACAGAAAGTGAGAAATCAAACCCCCACCCCTGCCCCCGGGGAATGGCCACACCGCAATCTCTTCTCCTCTAGTCTCCTCTCAGGATCTTGGGCACCTATGCATAGAGGCCTACCATGAGTTTAAGCCACTGGGTCCGGGACTCAAACCTCAGTCAACTACATGGGATTCCAGCGACATAGCCATTACGCCATCTGCTGGTTCCAAGGAGAGGAACATATTTTTAACCCAAATATGTTGTTAAAAATTATGTTTAGAGGCCGGCAGATAGTGTGCTAATTGGGAAAATTAAATAAATAATTATTTTTTAAAATATGTTTATTTTTTACTACTCCTAAGAACATGTGGTAGATACATAAAAGGTGAATTTACTTCTTAAATTTTGAAATGAGGAAGATAGATAGATAGATATCTGTTTTGGGAACAAGTATAAAGATAGCTAGCTAAATACATTAATAAGTGGTCTATCTACAGAAGATTTACAGATGCTGTAATAAAATGTTTCTATATTCAACCTATTAAGTGAGTGTGTCTTACACTATAAACATCCAGAGACAGCCTGCCAAAGAGAAGTAAACACTAAAGATATTTATAGCAAATCCATGATCTTGGAAAATCTTCTACTCCCTTGGGAGAGTCCAAAAAGGAAAAGTATAGAGACATTTTCGTCAAAGGAGACCTCCAAGTGACTACACTAGTGTGGTTAGAAGTTACTCATTGACTCTACAGGGTTATCCTACCAGAGCCGTGCTTAACTAGTAACATGTTTCCCTATCCTCAAATTTGATATCCTCAAACAT